TGTGTAGCTTACGCCGAAAGTCATGATCAGGCCTTGGTTGGTGACAAGACAATTGCATTTTGGTTGATGGACAAGGTGTTTATCACTTCAATATATTGTATTTCTCATTTATTTGAAACTGCATGCTGCAATGAAGTTCTTATTTAACAACACAAACAAAAACTTACTTGACTATTATAAATATTTTGGAAACTTCTCATGCATTTGCAATCAGCTTCTGATGTTGAGTATCAGCTTAGAAAGAATGCCTGATATAGCATCCCTCAATTCTCTGGCTGTTTCTTGAATTCTTTTAGTTCTTACTATGCTTCGGTTAAATCATTTAAGGACACTTATTTTTGCTTTATAAGTACATTGCTGCAGTTTGCCATTGGACATTTATATTTTACTAATGTTCTGTTGACTGCTTCAGGATATGTATGATTTTATGGCTTTAGATAGACCATCTACACCTCTTATAGATCGTGGTATAGCATTACACAAAATGATTAGGCTTATTACCATGAGCCTTGGTGGTGAAGGGTATTTGAATTTTATGGGGAACGAATTCGGCCATCCTGGTAAGCATATTTGACTTGTGTCATGTCATTATTTATTTAGAGATTTAATAATGATATAACCAGTTGTTGGATGTGATATTATCAAGTGAAGTTTATCATTGCTCATTCATTGTTTCTCTATTCAGAGTGGATTGATTTTCCAAGGGGTGATCAACATCTTCCTAATGGCAGAGTAATTCCTGGGAATAACTACAGTTTTGATAAATGCAGGCGTAGATTTGACTTGGTAAGCTTGTGGTTCCTTCATTCAGGACCTGTGCAATTACTAATTTATATTCCCACTTTTTTGTGTTTATGTTTTGAAATTTCAGTTAGGTGAGCAGTAGCACTACTTTGTGGCAAAATATGTTTATTGGATTACTGATGAATTGTAAAGTGTAAACCATACTAATCATTTGTATACATGTTTCTATGTTCCTGAAAATTACTGTCCTATTTTAGCATCAGAGTTACTAAAGTAAGATGATATATTTGAACCGTTGAAATGCATGGAATAAAGAAGAAACTAGCAGCATGACTTGTTTGTGATGTGTTTCTCATGACATTGTATGTCATGAAAGTTAAATGATATTGCTACAAACACATGGAATGAGAAGATGAAACTAGAGCCCTGCTTCAGGTAGAGCAAGATGTTTATATATAGAACTGGAAAAATCCAATAAAGATAATGATGGGTTGTGGCCTGATAGAATCTCAGTTTAGTGGGCAAAACAGTTAAAATATATGCTTTATTTTGTTTATATCTACATTACTTTGACATTAAACATAAATTAAATGTACTTATCCACTATCCAAATTGCCAAGGCTTCTTGGAGTAAAGAAAAAGAATAATTTGCAAAAGCCAATAGTTCAACAATTACAAAAACTATATTCTGTGTTGCATAATCAGGGGGATGCAGACTATCTAAGATACCGAGGGATGCAAGAATTTGATCAAGCCATGCAGCATCTAGAAGAAAAGTTTGGTGTAAGTCTTCATTTTTCTGCCTGCCTCAACTATTTTCCTTTGACAATGAATTGTCCTGATGAAATCTCTATTGGAAGGTTATCTAGCTTAGATTTTATGGCTCTTGCTCATCATTGGAGATAACTTGTGTAAAGTTTTAACTTTTGAGTACCATGATCATCATCATCATAATCTATACTATTAATAAAGGGGATTGTCCCATTTGATGTTCATATTTTTGGACAATTTTACCTTTTTACAAATTACAAATTTTTTATTCTATTTTAATTGCACGTGTTTTTAATAACCACTCACTTATATAATTTGTATTATTTATTTTTTTATAAAAATAATTCATGGAGGCACGAAGTATCTTTTGTATGCTAGTAGTAATGATAATAATAATAGACACTTGTGAAAGCAAATTTTTTATTTTCTTTCCCTTCCAAGACAGTTTCTATATGCATGATTGTGCAACCTAACTTTAATATTTCTTTTAGAGTACCAATAGTATTTAACATAGGTTTGTTATCCCCCGTTAGTATAAGCAGTTAAAGAAAAATAATTGTAGGTGCCTTTTTGCTGCAGTTCATGACTGCTGAGCACCAATACATTTCAAGGAAAAATGAAGGTGACAAAATGATAGTCTTCGAAAGGGGAAACCTCATCTTTGTCTTCAATTTTCATTGGAACAACAGCTATTCGGATTACAGAATTGGCTGCTTAACCCCTGGGAAATATAAGGTATATCTTAGTATCATTCTCTGGCAACACTGTAATGGTAATATTAGAAGTTATTATTTTTTGGTGATTAATATTAGAAGTTCTTTATAACAATGCAAAGCTACCATCTGTTATTCATCTCAAGAAACATCATTTTCGTCATTTGTCTGGTTAGTCTCCTCACTTGGATCCCAATTCAGGAAAGCACAATATGTGTGTGGATTAAGTTCTAAATCATAAAACCCTCTAGTGTACTAAGTTAATCCTCTCAATGTAAACGCATGTTATATTATTATTGAAATCATTGGCTCTATCATCAAATTCACTTTAACTATGGTGTCCAGCATTCAAGCCTATCAATATTGGTAACTACTTATTCTACTTGGATTAGTTTGGGCAAAAGTGTTTTCCCCCGTCTGCTAAATTCAAATCATCAATGAAGTAATCAGCCCAAGTGACAGCTAATTGAAGCTCATCTTAACGGAACTTTAATCAAGAACAATGAGCAAAAGGTCCCCAAAATTAAAGTAGTCTAGTCTTGCACTATTTTCCCCAGTTCCATCTATGGATGATCTGGTCCCACCGCCCCATCATCTATATCCACATATGTTTAATTAATCAAGAACAATTAGAACACATCTACTTTTGATACAAGAGTACTACCTGACACTGGTTGCTAATGCTTGCAACAATATGACCAATACTGATTATTTTCTCTTTTTCTTTTTCAAAATTTGAGAATATGTTTATCTGGTGTAATTGGTTGTGCTTTTCCTTTTTCCAGATTGTCTTGGATTCGGATGATGCCTTGTTTGGTGGCTTCAGCAGGCTCAACCACGCTGCTGAGTACTTCACCTCTGTATGGGGCTTCTCTAAACTTGTGTCCGAGTGTGCACATGCTCTGGCATGGACACACTAGCATGTTGTGTTGTGTGTCCTGTTTGTATTTTCCTATGCGTGTGCTTCCATTCTTGCATACCTAATTTTACTGTTTTGACTACCCTGATGAAATAAACAAACTCCTTGAATTCTCTTCGGTGATTTTACAGGAAGGGTGGCATGATGACCGACCTCGATCCTTTCTTATCTATGCGCCTTCTAGAACAGCAGTGGTTTATGCCCTTGCAGCTGACGATGAACCAGCCCTTGCAGATGAAGTTGAAGTGGAAGTTGAAGTTGAAGTTGAACCAGAGCCAGTTGATCCTTGATGACAAGTTTCTGGGATGAATGTTACAGGTGCACAATGGCATGGATGCGGTAACTCCCTAGTCAAACTTGCCAACCTACGTCTGGTAGTTTAACCGACACTGAAACAACAAAGAAGCAGAATTGAAGTGGAAGAATAAGTGGGGCACTAGTTAATCTTTAGTGAGGCAGGAATCTAGCGTCGGAATCTTGTACATGTTACTCGGTAGGTAATAAGTTGTGATAGCACACCAAGCTTTCTGTTTTTACTTTTTAGGATTTAACGTCTTGAGATGTGTAAGTTGCATCGCGATTGAGAAATGTGAATCAACAAAGCTTATGGTCCGCGAACCTGAGACTCAATGTACCTGTGCACATATCAATCTTCATAAGTGCATACTCTGTTAAGACTTGGAAGCTTCCAGGGGGCTTTTACCATGGGAAATTTTGCAGGAGGCTTTATAGATATCTCCTTTATATTTAGAAGTTTAGTTGTAGCAGTACAAAGTATTACTATATACAATGTAATAAAGGCGTTATACACGGTCATAAAAAAGAGTAAAATAATTGCGTTACCGTATAAATGGTCGCTCCTTCTTCACTTCCATAGTTGTATGTTTTTAAGTCAAAAAGCCGAGAAAGGTATTTCTTCAATTCCTTTTACCATCTTTTTTTTTTATAAATAATACTAATCTATTTATATTCACTATCCATAATTGTCTGATTCATTTTTGTGCGGTGACCAAGTGGCGAAAGCAAAAGCGATACTAAGAATTATCAGTCTAATGTCCGGGATGGTGGTTAATGGGTGCAAAGCTCAGACTTTTGATTTCAAGAGCTCACCGCTCCTGCTCCTGGATTATCGATTTTCTTGGCAGCCGATGCTTATGGAGTTAGCTTCTTAAGATCTCACAAGTTTTTCCTTATTTTTATTTTGCTTTTTCTACCTTTACCCAAAAAGAGAAAATGTCTTCTAACCAAGCAAAAGCTGTTTCTATTATTTAGCTTTGAACATAAGTAATAGTGTTTTTAAATATATGAATGGAAAAATACTGTTCTCAAACGAAAAATAGGCCTAAATTATTATCGTCGAGTTCTCAATATTTAACTCTTTATGGTAATCTTGTACGACTGACACGAACAAATTTGTCAAAAAGCCTAAATTATTACCGTCTTAGGTGGAAGTTTTGATATCCCCATATTTATCCAACAACACTGGCTGCATTGGAATTGTCTCGCTTCTGCTTTCTTTGTTTTTCATTGAGAATTTACTATTTTAAATTATTGTTCTTTTCTCTTGTCAAAAAAAAAAAAAGTACTGTTCTTTTCTCCTTATTGTCGAGATTTTTTCGGCTTCAATGTTTATTATGTAAATAATAAGGGGCTCAGACTTTTATTTGTACCAAGACAAAGGAGAAAAAAACAACACAAGTGATTTAAGTCCATATTGACACACTAATAATCAATAATTACTTGCAGAACTTTTAGGAACCTTGAGTAGTTCAACTAAAACGTAAGTAATGCCTCAAAAAAACAGGTTAAGTTATTGGGAAACCCAGTATCAGTTATGAATTAAGTGCACGATGCAAGCAGGAACCAACCATATATCCTTTCATCGCCAGCTTAAAAACAAAAGAAGTCCACAGGATTGACACGAACATAACTGTTGTCCAAGAATGCTCCGAAAGTGGAACTTAATCTCAAAACAAGAACAGAAAATTAGTTGGGGTACCAACTAGCTAAACTTAGGTGCTAATGAAGCTGGTCTCAGATCCAGAACCACGAGGCACGTGATGCAAAACACTAGTGGGAGATGAAGTTGTAGTAGATGATCTGAGTGCCTCCGCAAGTGGCCCTCCCATAGAAGCCACTTGATTAGCCGAGGCCCATCCTCCGGCCCAATTCAACTGCAGTTGGTCAGCCTCCACCTCGAGGTCCACATTCTCATTTCTTGGGCCTGGATCCTCTCCATAGCCCGTGGACAATTTCAACGACACATCCGAGGAAGTATTTCCGGGCATTGAAATAGATAGACATGTGGCCGAGTTCAGCCTGCCAGCATTGTTTTCAACGTTGTCAGAGTCTTGAAGTGATCGTGGCCAATCATCAAAGAAATGCCTCAGCATATGGCCACCTGATCTGCCATCCCCACCCACATGATCTTCGCTTTCAAAAGAGCTCTTGTCTTCATTCTTGGTCCCAGATGTACTACATGTGCCCCACCAACAACAGGAAAAATATCAAGTCCGAGCTTGTATCAAAACGGTGCCAAAAATTAAATTGTGGTCGTGGAACACAAGGACAGCATCATTTCTAAATTTAGTTTACAAAGTAACGGTTGGGGATTACTTGTGCCAAATCTATACTATTGTGTTTCGCATGCACTTAAACCGAACAAAACAATTCATTTTGTCCTTCACCCTTTTGATATAGGTAAATGCAACAAGATTTCTAATTAAGGAAAATAAAAATGAAACAAAATTGCTAAAAAAGTGTTAATAGTCCACTTCAATCAAGATTTCTAATGAACTTCTAGCATTATTTTTAATAAAAAAAATATATTTCTTAATTACTTAATCATTGATTTTGAGAAACTAGTTTGCAATCCACGCCAATAAAAACAGAATGTATCACCTTTTTCCCTTACCTCCTTATATGTTTTACATCGAAAATACATTAAATAGAAAATAGATTCCATTTGTTATCTCTTGTTCTAATCCAACCTGCTTTATTACCCAAGTACGAGACATAGTGGCCATACCCTCAATGGGGTCCCTATCCCAGTTAGGCACCAGTACAGTAAGTGACAAAGATGTATCTCCTTAGATTACTTGTTCAATCGGAATGCATCAATATTCAAACTTGCTTTTTAAACGTCAATTAATTAACCTCAGAAACGACATTGACGGAAAAGGCAAACAAAATATAAAGCACAGAAGCAAAGTATGCCCCATCACATTAAGATCAAACTCACATAGAACTAACATTTTCCAAAGCAAAGCTCACTCGCTGATTGCCCTTTATTAGATACACGAAGCACACACTCATAATCATTAATAGTCCAAAGTAAGACCCTAACGTAACGCTTAGGATGCAATCTTAGTTAACAAATCACATTATCAGAGACAGTGGGAAAGGAAATAAGATTACCGTTGTTCATTCATATGGAGCAGATCAAAAGGAGATTTGAGTGAAGCAGAAGCTAGAGGCGGTGAAGAAATGGAAGATGAAGCAGCTAGTCCTAGAGATCCACCACAAGCACTAGTTGGTGTGGGTAGTTCCACAGGCTTTCTTGAACGGTTTCTTCCACGATGCATGTGGCGCTCACAGTACTTTTGCCCCGCCACCACGTCCCTCGAGCACCGCCACTTCTTCCCGTCGGTTCTCCGGCACCGCCCTGGCTCCGGATCCATGGCTCCTCTACCCCAATACCCTGATTGCAACACTGATGCAACAAACAAAAACACAACATGTTCATCTATAAAAACCTAAACTTCACCCTCTATATAGCAGCAGTAGGCGTGTCACACTTATATAACAAGCATAGAGATGCCATCAACATCTTCCTCTGTGGTGAGTGATTGTTCCATATTTAATATGTCGATGAATATTTAAGTTTACTGGTAGGGCCTAACACAATCCTCAAGGCTGATGCAACAAGCATGTCTTGTCCAAAATGTAATTTTTATTTTTATTTTTGGTTTTATCAAGCAAAATAAAAAAGTTTTGGGGGGCGTTGAATGATCACAAAACACGAGAAAACGATGTAATACGTGGACAATGGTGTGTGACATATACAGTAAGAATGAGAGAATGAGAGAGAGAGAGAGAGAGAGACTTACAAGCAGGTTGGTAATGTTGGAGAGGGTGGTGGAGGAAATAGTGAGGAGAATGAAGAAGGCTTTTCTTTATTGGTTGAAGGAGTTCAGGAGGAACAGCAGCACCAGCTAACATGTACCTGAATATCAAAGCCTGCAACTCAAGTTCCTGCCACTGAGACAAGCTGAAGTAGCTCCCCATCCCTGAACAGGTGTAATAAAGAGGAGACCAACCCAGAAAGGGAAAAAAGAGAGAAAACGTAAGAGCCAAAGAAGGGAGGGTGAGGAAAGGTAGTAAGGTGGAAGCGAACTTGAGAAAAGTAAGAAGCAACTAATACCTGAAGTTAATCACACTTTTTTCTATCAAAAGGAAAATAAAAAAGAAAAAACTTACTGGGAAATCTGTTAGTGGTAGTGGCTAATGTTGAATCTGACAGGGTGCTGACTTTGCTGTTGGGTTCAGGTACAAACAAAGGGAGTGCAGAGGGTTGTGGCTGTTGATGGGATTCAGGGAGAAGTTTTGGCATCTTTGTAGAATGTTGTTCCTCTGACTCATGCTGGTTTCTCCATTGCTTCAGATGTAAGTCCATGGAGAGAGAGAGAGAAAGAAAAAAAGAAAAGAAAAAAAAAAGAGTATTAAGTTTTGTTTAATGTGTGGCTAATTAACTTCGTTAGGTGTGTTGGATGTGTAAAGACGAAGCTTGTAAAAGGCTTTTGCAGTGTCCTCTGAGGGTTCCTTTATATCTTTGGCAGATACCTGTGTGTGAGAGAGGGTTTCTGACAGCAAAGCCTGCAAAGTTTGTTTTGAAGGGTTAGAGCACTTGAGAAAAAGACAGTGAGACAAGACAGTTGAGGGGAAAAAGAAGTGATAAAATAATGGGTATGAAGAGAGAAGAAAGAAAGAACCTGCGGTTTTTGTCTTTGTGCTTTGCTTTGGAAATAGCACTCGAGGGAAGAAGTAGCAGCATAGGGCTTGTAAGTGGAAAAAAAAAATAAGCTTTTTAGTATTATATTATCATGACTCTAGTATAGGAGTCTATAACACAGTTGGATAGTAGAGTGGCATAGAATAATATTATATTCATCTCTTTTAATGAGATGGTTTTGGACGAATGTGGTGAATGAGACTGAAACAATGCAATTGCAATGGCGACGCTGCTCAGGCTGAGGCTGATGTGATGAAAGGATTTTGGTTTGCTTAGAAGACAACATCTCGGTTTTCGTCCAATCTATGCGACTTGCAACATGTAGTATCTCGAGGAGTTTTGTGTTCTATTGCCTATTCCAGGGTTAAGTTTTTTTATTTTTTATTTTAGGTAAATAAAAATGCTGGTAGGTACCCTCGATATAATTAAGTATAGATATTTTTTAAAATTTAAATATGTTTTAATTTCTCAAATTTAAAATATTTTTTAAATTTAAATTTGTAACTTTAGTTCTTATAATTTTGAAAAAATATTATTTTAACATAATAGTAGTTTGTTTTTTCCAAATAGTTCTTCATTGCTAGAAAATATTGTCATTATTGTGGAAATGAGATGTGTTGTTCGTTGCTGTGGCTATTCCAATTTTCTTCAGTCTAATCTTTTATTAACATTAAAATGTTTGATTTGTATTTAGAGTATGATTACAAAATCATGGTTCTTGCAGATTTTACAAAAAAAAATAAAATTCTTATACTCAAATAATGCTGTTGATAATAATGTTTTGATACGATTCAATAAATTTTTCAGAATTATAATATAAAGTAAAAGTAATTTTCTTTTGAATTTGATTTGTGAAATATCTATTAGTTTATAAATACATGAAAAATTACAAATTTAATTACCTAATAAGAATTCCAATTACAATAATTGAATTAATGAAATCCAATTTAAATTAATAAATAAATTTGACATTATTTACAAGAGTAATAGTAATACGAGAATCTCTAATACACTCTTTGTAATATATTTTTTTACTGAGTTGAAATTTGATAAGAATGAAAAAAAATCATCAGAGACTAGTTAAATAATCTTTTCATCTCATTTTATTTGTCATTTTTGAAATACTTCTTATTCTTAAATTATATGTCACTTTAGAATATCAAAACACTATTATTTATTTATTAATATTTCAACTTACAATACATTAAAAAAAATTACTCTAAAACTGTTATTTAATAATTAAGTATGAAACTATTTCAAAATTTCATGTTTTTATTTTATTTTTAATCATTTAACTATAATCCAATAGTTTATATTTATAGATTTTTATCGTAAGGAAAATTCTCACTCATCCATAATAAGAAAAAGTTCTCACCAATAGTACACCTGTTTGTATGTGAGTGTGTAATATCTTTTCTATTTATAAACTTCATTAAATTTTTAATATATTTTTACACTTTCTATATTAATTTAATTATGTTATACACTAAAACGTGTTAAATATGTAATACATAAATATTTTTTAAAATAATAAGAGTAAAAAATATGGCACAACTAATGAAAAAGTGAAGTGAAATATATATCGGGCCGGTATAAATTAATATTTATTATAATTATTCTCCATAATATATTAAATCACACTTTTTTTAATTATCTATCGAGATAGAACTGGACACCAAGACTTACAATAATTTGTCCAATCAATTGAGTTGTACTCCCTATTATTATTATTATGATAAAGATTAAGGTAGTATGCATATCTACCGTATTCAAATCATGTTATTATCAATGTAACTTAATAAAAAGAATTAATAATATTATAATAAATATTACATATAATAACATAAAAAAGTGTTATTATAAATATAATATCTATTTAGTATATAGTTATATATAATTTTAGTGTTGATTTTAAACAAGATTTAACAACATATTTTATGTGTCACTATAGTTTATATCCACATTTTTTAACAATATATTAACATATAGTATATTTATTGTGTAAGTAAAAATAATTTTTAGCGATACTTATTATGTCACTATAGGATGTGTGTTATTATATGACAATTTTCTTATAGTATAATTTTATATAATTTTATTTTTTATTAATTAATTAGCCTTAATAATTTAAGCGTTTTTAAAGATATTTTTGTATTAAAAAAAATAATTGTCTCATGATTTCCTAATAGTCACTAAAGCACCATTTGGTTAGTAGATTAGACAAAATAAAATGTTTTATTCTTGTTTTTTCACCTTTTATTGGAATCAAAATATATTACATTTTATTTTGTTATATTTTAAAAATGAATTAAATATAAAATAGAACTCGTAAATTTTACTTGGTCCAGGTCTAATATAATCACCATATATTACTCAAAAATCTGTTAACTTTTATTAAATTATAGGAACATTTTTTTAATTTAGAAGAGTCAGATTGACAGAACAGATTATAAGGAATTATTTGTATTTTTAATAGATTTTTTATTTAAAGAAACTATTAAAATTTAAAAGCGTAATAATGAATCAGTTACTAATATTTAATCATGGTAACTATTTAAGACATAGATATGTTTTATAAAAGAAGGATTTATTTTTAATCATAAAAAGTGTGGAAATGGTAAACACTAAGATGAGAGAGATAATTATAATCTCCTATCATCCTATGGCCCCATCGTATCGTATACTTTAATATGTTCGATGTTAGCGTGATTGGATTCACGTTTATTGAAGTTAACGTGTGTCCAAAACGTGAAAATGCTTTTATATATTCTATATATTCTATTTTTAATTTTTATTTTCAGTATTCGTCTATTTTTCTGTCTTTTGTTTCTCCGCCGAACCAAACAAAGCCGTACGTAAATGAGCGTCCTGGTGAAGCTCTTTTGATGAAAGACCACAACTCACCCATAACCAAATGAATCCTCCATTTTTCTTATTCTAAAGTGACACCCAACAAAATCAAAGTTACCATACTTTTTAGACTAATGCTAATCTATATTTATTGCACGCTTAATAGCATGCATGTTCATTGCTTTTAATTCTCAAAGTCCCACTCTTGGCCACAAATGGTAGCACATGTTGAAAAAAATACAATAGTATACAAGTCTTAAGTAAGTTAATATTATCATTCGTATATTAATTATTTTTGTTAATGTTGGTATTAATAGTATTTCTTAATTAATTATTATCATATTAATTTCTTTTATATTGTATAAAAAGATGATAAAGTGAGTCTTAATTAATAAAAAATATATATTATCTATTTTTTTAGATTTTTCCTCGTACTCCTTGTTATTTTAAAAATTATTCATGGGATTCCAACATATTTGATCTTAAATATAAGAGTTTGAATACATCATTGTATAAATTTTGGTGAACAAATCAAAGATTCATCAAAAATTTATTTTCAAGACAGCAATTAGTATTGCAACTTAATATTCTTTCATTCTTTTTCTACTAATATTTTTTAGCGCATGCAAAGAATAAATTATATGTAATTGAATTAATAACAAATGGTAAAAATAAAAATAAAATGAGTTCTACAATTATACTAGATAATTATTAACAAACTTGTAACATCCTGCAATTTACTATAAATAATTGAAGGTATTTTAATAATTAGGAATAATTTAATTAATAACTTAATAATTGGGTTAAGTTTGGAGAAAAGGGTTTATGGGAAAAAGAAAACTTTTGTACCTAATAAGAGTTAAGGTTTATAAATCTCAATCCACACTCTCACATGACCTAAAGAGAGATAGAGGAAGAAGAAGCAAAAGAAAGAAAAATTTAGACATTTTTTATGCTTTGTTATAGGAAGGGGAACAGAAGGAATCGAGAGGAATATATAAAAATTGTTTTGATATAAAAAAAATAAAATATAGTAAAATTTGTAATTATTTGATGGAGTAAAAATATATGAAAAATAGAAGAAAAAAATTGATATTTTAAAAATGGAGTGAAAATATGTATTATTTGAAAAGAACTCACAGTCAATGCAATTTTCCCTAATTCTTTCCATGTAATTAGTATATCTGTATATAGCTTAGAGGTAAACCAATAAAAAAAAGTCCAATTGTTTATTTATTAAAATATTATATCTTGAAATATATTTATTAAAGTGTTATATTTATTATTCATGTTGAAAATTTGATCTCTACCAACCAATTTCTCACCTGATTTTTTAATATTTTTTTTATTATTTCTACATTGTGAAAATTTCTAACAGAAATCGATTTCAAATATGGGTTTTTCTATAATTTTTTTTGTAATATTATTATTTTATGTAATATATATTTCTATTTAATTTACTGACTTAAAAATTTGTTAATATATAAATATTTTTATTTTTATTTTAATTAACAGTATATTTGTTTCTATTATAAATGCAACATCTTTTTAATGATAATTAATAAATTTTGTAATATATGTGTTTGATAATTTATTAGAAGAAAATAAAAAATTAATATATATTTTTTTAATATATTATAGTTAGTAAAGCTAAAATTTCAAACAATAAATGAAAATTGTTAAAATTAACTTTGTGGATAAAAGAAATGTACTAAAATAGTGGTTAAATAATGTCAATTTAAAACTCAATATTTTTTTAAAATAATTAAATAGTATCTAAATCTTAAGAGTGGAAACAAAGAGTTAAAGAGCAAAAAAATACAATGTATTTTTATGTTG